GGTGGACAGTGGTGTGCTTACTGCCCATCTCAAGAGCCCACTGGCAGCCACAACACTGGCAGAGCTGCGTCTGTGGCCCCAGCCATCTATCTGCCCCTCCTCCCACCGGTAACCACCTCCTGACCTTATTTTAAAAAATAAAACAGACCGGGGCATGGTGGCTCACGCCTGTAATCCTAGCACTCTGGGAGCCTGAGGCAGGAGAATTGCTCAAGTTCAGGAGTTCGAGACCAGCCTGAGCAAGAGCGAGACCCAGTCTCTATTAAAAGTAGAAAGAAATTATCTGGACAACTAAAAATATATAGATAAAAAATTAGCCGGGCATGGTTGCACATGCCTGTAGTCCCAGCTACTCGGGAGGCTGAGGCAGAAGGATTGCTTGAGCCCAGGAATTTGAGGTTGCTGTGAGCTAGGCTGATGCTATGGCACTCTAGCCCAGGCAACAGAGTGAGACTCTGTCTCAAAAAAATAAAACAAAAACAAAAAACAGTTTTGGCAAGTTCATCTTTATTACTTAAACCACACATCATTTAGTTTGTCTCATTCTTTACAAAACTCATGCCACACTCAGGCCTCTTCTGCAGCTTGCTTTTTTCATTCAGCATTGTTTGTAGGAATCATTCATGTGATTGTGTGAGTTCATTTATTTTAACTGCTTTCTTAAATTCTGTTGTGTGCATATGTTACCACAGTCTCTTCTCAGCAATGCTAAAATCCAAGTATCTCTAAAATCAAAAGATTTTGGTTTTGTTTTTAACATACTTGGTGGCAAAACCTTACTTGGTAAAGTTTAATAGCCTCTGTTGCACTTAGTATGAATATTCACACATTTCGCTAAAGAAATAGTGTCTGATTGCGGGGTGCTGCCCCAGACCTGTGAGGCTATTGTATGATATATTGTGCCATATAATCTTTGTACTGCCTGAGACATCCTGAATTCTAAAACACATATGTTTGTCCAATTGTTTTTGCACATGCAGTTGTGGTTCTGTATGCCACGGTTCCTTTGTTCCTGCTACTGTTGAGTGAACATTTAGATAGGTAGCTTCCACATTTTTTGCCATCATATCGCATGTAATTCTTTGTCTTATAACTCTCCAGTGGAGAATCTAAACACCTCCCTCGCATGTTACTTTTTTCCTATAGAAATAAGTCAGAATGAGTTATGCAGAAAAACCCGATGAAATCACAAAAGATGAGTGGATGGAAAAGCTCAATAACTTACATGTCCAGAGAGCAGACATGAATCGTCTCATCATGAACTACCTGGTCACAGGTAATGGCTTGAATAAGGATATTACCACTTAAACAGAGTTCTCCCTTTTTGTACAGACAAATAGTGCTTTACCACTGAAGATCGATGGTGAAGTTATGTTGTGTTCAGATCTTGTAAAAACACATGCTAACTTGATAAATTTGTAAATGATCATGTTAAAGATAACCTTTTCTGGAGAGGAGATAATCATTCCAGGTCTGAGACCTATGGCAAAAACCTGTTTCTAGAGAGGGAGGGGGGAGGGGCAGGAGTCTGCAGAAGGACGCTGCACTCAGACCCTTGTTGACACCAGAGAGGAGGAGAGACAGGGCTGTATATGATAAAAAAAAATCTAGACGTTTTCAAAAGGCATAAATTGGAAAGTTGGTCTCCCTCCTGATAGTCTTCAGTCTCACCTCCAAAATTCATCTCTGTTAAAAAGTTTTTGGGGGCCGGGCGCTGTGGCTCACACCTGTAATCCTAGCTCTTGGGAGGCCGAGGCGGGCGGATTGCTCAACGTCAGGAGTTCAAAATCAGCCTGAGCAAGAGCGAGACCCCGTCTCTACTATAAATAGAAAGAAATTAATTGGCCAACTGATATATATATCAAAAAATTAGCCGGGCATGGTGGCGCATGCCTGTAGTCCCAGCTACCCGGGAGGCTGAGGCAGAAGGATCACTCGAGCCCAGGAGTTTGAGGTTGCTGTGAGCTAGGCTGACGCCACGGCACTCACTCTAGCCTGGGCAACAAAGCGAGACTCTGTCTCAAAAAAAAAAAAAAAAGTTTTTGGAAGGTAGTGAGGAAATCTAGGCCTATAGTCATGGGAGGAAGAGACACACATGCTGGCTTTGATATGGGAAGCAGATGTGCAATGTGAGCAGACTCACATTGAGAGGTAGGCAGCCGTAGGTAAAGCCCACACTAGGTGCAGCTGCGCTGTGGAGGCGGAGCCAATGTTTCCGCCTCACCTGGCACCAGAGCAGCAGCTTCGGGCATCCTCAGCCATGTCGGAGGAGCCCACACCAGCCCCAGGCCAGCAGTCCTTCCAACCTCTTTAGCTTACTGGTTAGAGTTTTGGGTGGGGTGGAAAGGGGTGAAGTGAATTTGAATTCTCATGTTCTGTGTTTTGAGGGATACCTTGTAAATCACAAAGATGTTGGTACCAAGTCCTGAGAAAGTATGGTTCCTATCCGAGGTTACCTAATTGAGACAATTGGGCTTTCCAGAGATATGAGGCCCTTGCGTTGATTCTTTGCTAACTTTCCTAGCAGTGAAGATGGTTTTTATTTTCAGAGGGCTTTAAGGAAGCAGCGGAGAAGTTTCGAATGGAATCTGGGATTGAACCTAGCGTGGATCTGGAAACACTTGATGAGAGGATCAAGATTCGGGAGATGATCCTGAAAGGCCAGATTCAGGAGGCCATTGCGTCAATCAACAGCCTCCATCCAGAGCTCCTGGACACAAACCGGTACCTTTACTTTCATTTGCAGGTACGTCTCAGAGGAGTCTGGTTTGTGGATATTTGATAAGTTAAGGCTATTTGCAATGATTCAGAAGTAACTAGGCTAATTTGCATTAATAAAATATTGTTTTATATGGGGAAGGGGTTTGAGTTAACTGCTATTTTATGTATTCCAGAAGCTGTTTTTTGCTTTTTAAATGCAAATGTAATAACTCAGAGATGCTGTAAACATCTTTCCTTGAGATGTCGTTTTAACTGAGACCGAGCACCAGGTTGCTGTCTGTCGGTGGCCTGGGTGTGTGGTTGAGCTTGTCTGTCTTTGCCGTGGACCAGCAGCAGCATTTGATCGAGCTGATCCGCCAGCGTGAGACAGAGGCGGCGCTGGAGTTCGCGCAGACGCAGCTGGCGGAGCAGGGCGAGGAGAGCAGGGAGTGCCTGACGGAGATGGAGCGCACGCTGGCGCTGCTGGCTTTCGACAGCCCCGAGGAGTCGCCCTTCGGAGACCTGCTGCACATGATGCAGAGGCAGAAGGTAGAGGCCGTGCGGACGATGTCCCTGTCCTCGTGTGCCGTATGTGGCTCTGCGGTGGGGATGAGCAGCCAGTGATATCTGGGCATGGGACACCATGATGTGATGGTGGTGGTTCTTCCTTAATTTTGCATCTTTTGTCTTGTTGAACTAGGAACAGTAGAGTCTGTGGTTATTCGAGAGTATTCAACACCCTCTGCTTTTTTTTTTGCTTAAAATTTTTTATTCTAATATTTTTTTCTTTACAAAAATAATGTAAGGAGCTTATTTTTCTAAGTGAACCTTCTTCCAGTTTATATGGAGACTCTTAGAAACAGATGCCCTAAGTATTTTTAAATTCAAAATACTTTATTCTGAAACTTTTCTCTCACTGTTACTTTTGTGTCTGCCCCAACATGCCCACTCACTGCCTCCCCGGAGCCGCTGTCTTTCCCCACGTCCTGACTGGCTCGTCTTCTGGGGCTCTGTCCTGCACCGTCGTGGCAGGATCACCTGTCCTTGAGGGCCCACTTGAGGCTTGTTAGGAGGAAGGAGCTTGTGTCTGCTGACCAGACTAAGTTTCCCCAGCAAGGACTGTGTGTTTAACTCCTGAGTGTGCCTCACGGTTAAGGGTTTAATGTTCGTTTAAATAAATAAGCTTTTTGCACAAAAAAGGTTTCCAAGAGTACAAAATGCATTTTATTAACAGGCTCTTCTTGCTGGTGTTCTGTGTGTGGTTGTTTTATTGGATGTATTTATTTTCTAGGTATGGAGTGAAGTTAACCAAGCTGTCCTAGATTATGAAAACCGAGAGTCAACACCCAAGCTGGCAAAATTACTGAAACTACTACTTTGGGCTCAGAATGAGCTGGACCAGAAGAAAGTAAAATATCCCAAAATGACAGACCTCAGCAAGGGCGTGATCGAGGAGCCGAAGTAGAGCCTGCGCGGGGCCCCCCCGCACCGTCCCTGCAGCACAGGACTTGTCTCGCTCCGTCTGCGACTGGAAGATTTTTACTGCAGTAGAGCACTCTTTCCTCCCCCTTGTACTTTTCTTTTGACCTGGCATCTTTTTTAAAGGGAAAAATGGCCTTTTTAAGCGCTGGAAAACTCGCACTGAAACACTGTCTCTTTGGAAGTTGCCGCAGACTCTGCGGCCCATGCCCAAGCGTTGACAAGTAGCTGTTTGCTTTTCCAGAGCTCCTGGGACTTTGGCTGCTGGAGGAGTTGGTTTGCCCTGGAGCGCGGCCTTGTCAGGAACAGCAGTTAGACTTTAGGCCTCCCCCGAAAACGTGTGAGCAGCACAGATCATGACCTTGCTTTCTCGTGGCAGACAGTATGTCTTCTCACTTCTCCTGAGTCTCGTCAGGCCTTCATCTACAAGTTTTTCCTTACCCTTGGCTTTTTGTTTTTTCATAGGAAAGAATCTATAAATTTGTAAATGCTAATTCAAAGATGACTTGCGTGTGAGGATATTGTGTTTGATTTGTTTTTCCCCTTTTGGTCTGGGTTGTGTGGCTTTGGGGAGATGTGTGTGAGAGGGCGGGGCTGTGTGTTTTTTAATTTTTTAAATATATATTTTGGTGCTGTATGTGGTGAGAGACTCCTTCACAGTGGGTCGGTGACCCTTCTGGGCAGTTTTGTTGAAAATAAAGGTTTCTCTTTGATTTCAAGAATGACCAAAACGGCCTCTAAAAATTAGTTTTCATCCTCTCAAGCGACCCTTTGTTTTGGGGCGTACTTTCCCCTGTGGTGATATCAGTGGTCTGGTATCTGCCGCAAGAAGGACTGCTTGGCCCTGTCTGTGTGCCTGGGGGGCCCGCCCTCAGTGGGCGGGGCCTGTGGAGCCAGGCTGGGGCAGGAGGCTGTTGGTAAGGATCAGATTGTGGGTCCTCCATTCAGATTCTCTTCCGTTGTCAGCCGCTCCTCAGGGGTCCCACTTCTGTTCACTCGCTGCCTTGTTCCTGTCCAGTGGTGGCAGGAGGCCATGGCGCGGTGTGGCACGGCCATCTGTAGATCAGTGCGCGCACGACGGGTGCGTGCCATGTAGCTGGGCGCAGACGTGCTCAAATGTGTTGCGGCGGGGCCAGCAGGTGCAAGTGACCCCCTCAGGCAGCGCTGTGGGTGGCCACAGCACTGCTGCCCCCACAGAGCGAGGCTCACAGGGATGGTGGTGGGCACCGTCCTGCTGGCCGCTGAGCTGGGGGAGCTGCTCCACTTACCGCATAGCAAGGGGCAGCCCCACAGGCTGGGGTGTGGGGCCAGCCTGCCCTCCCCTGTGCTGGTTGGGGTATCCGCCTCTGCTGGGGCCGTCCCCCACGCTCCTGCCCCTCTTGAGTGTTGGTCGATGAGTGTCTGTGGCGCTGTCTCCAGCTTGCGGTGCGTTCTCCTTCTCGCTGGGAGCGAGGTATGGTCATGCCTCAAGCTCTCTGCTTCCCTGTTCAATGGGTAGGACTTTGTCAGTGTCTACTTTTACCTAGTTTTCTATGACTCAGTAAGGCGCTCAGAGATAAAACTATTGCATTCGTCGTAAAAGCACTCTGGCCTATAGACTGACCCTCAGGCTGCCCTTTTGGTTTTGTAAGGGTGGAGTGCTGGGAGGTGGCCCTTCCCTTATCCTAGAAATGACGTGTCTGACTCCTGCTGTGTCTGCAGTCACTTTCGGATGCCACCTTCTTCAGGGTTATTTCCTCTGTGGCTTGAGGATAAAAACAAGTTAGACAGAAAGGGAGTTTTAATCTTCAGATAATTAATGCGTTAACCATAGCTGAAGCCGGAAGAAAAGGACTAGGAGAGGGATAGAGATAAAAATGCGCTTTTTGAACAGCACCAGAGAATGCAGCATATTCCCAATTATCTTGTATTGCTAGTGTATGAGATCGTTTACATGCACAATTAATATATCGTCAATGTGACGTACTCCCAAGGTTCGAGGGTATGAGAAGTGTGGCAGTGGGACGCCTCATCTTCCGGGGTTACCCACAAACCCATGAATGGGGTTTGTCACATGCACTGAGTGTTATGAGGTGATCATGAGACAGAGTGTTGGTATTTTACTTGCCAGTTCAATCAGCCAGTAGCTTAGCACGGCTATGCCGGAACCCAGCGTGAGGTAGACGCTGTGAGACTTGGAAGTCTCAGGTGCTCTTGTTTTCTTCACCTGGCTGCATTTGTTTCCCCGTGGTCTGCAGTGGACTAGGAATGGAGGGAGAAGTGCTTTGCATACTTTTCTGTTTACTGCCTTTGTGCAGTGTTTGTTATTGCAGCAAGCAAATGAAATTAAGCCACTTGGGGATAATGAATATTCAGTGTAATTCGGTTTTTCTACTTTGTCTCATTTTGTATCACTCTGTTGCGTTTATAAAATGTGGTTATGTTTTACAGGGTAGTTTATTTCTTTTTACGCTTTCTGACAGAAAGCGCCTTGAAATAAATGGAATTTGAGAATGTTCTGGTACTGTGTCCCTGACAGCATGGTGTCGTGAGGTAACCCCCTAGTCTGGGTCTTTCTGAAGTGTGGGGTTATTGCAAAGCACATGTGGACTAACCCATTTTGCCATTTGAGTGTGGCAGGTTCTAGAAAAGGCAGACCCTGGCAAGGACCAAAGGCTCCATGGCCTGGGACTAAAGCACGGTGGCCCTGTGCTTGCATGGAGCCTGCAAACTGAGTCCGCTCATGCCTTGGGGAGCCTGAGATGTTCTTTCCATCCAGTGAGGATATGATCGGCAAACATGCAGACAAAATATATTGAGGACAGTTTTCCTAAGGCAATATAATTGTTTTTATTTTCTTATTTCTGTATGCTGCTAGTTTTGGAGAGTTGCGGAACCAGGAGTTCCAGAAAGAATCTTACACCTTTTATGGTAAACACGATGGCGTCCCTGGGGTAGTGGAGCAGGTTCCCTTCTGGGCTGGTGCTGCCCAGGCTCCGTGTGAACAGAGACCAGACTGATAGTGTCATGCGTGGAGGGGCCTGGCTGCTTCCCTGCAGTGGAAGACGTTGAGTTGTGCACTTAGGGTCACGAGTGGTGTGGGCGCCTGCCAGACCCACCAGCTGACACAGCTACCTGTTGTCATCAGCCTTCGGTCATTTTTGCTTTGTTGACATGTTTTATCCTGATATACGCGTGTTACTTTTTGCAACAGGTATGTTTTTATCTCAGAAATACATTTTGTTTTCTCAGATTTTTTGTAAATCATATTGTGAACATTAGTCATTTGAAATTCTGTCTAAAACCGTAGCCTGCGGTGGTTTCCTGTTCACGTCTGGCTCTGTAACCCCTCAGTCCACTGAATACGACCCCCCATCCGTCCCCCCAAGATCTTCTGAGAAGTGCAGAAGGGATAGCTTTTGCTGCCAGTTCTTAATCTGATAGTAAAAGTTTTCACGTTTTTCTCAGAATGGTCATCTGAAAGCTCTTTTTTCTTTAATAGGATGTTTTAATACGAACAAGGAATTAAATACTAATACTTTGTTTTTACTAAAAAGTTGGTATGTTAGAATTGGAAGGATAGCAGGAAATTAGTTTCATGTAACTTTATGCTTTGGTTTTGAAATGTCCCCACTCTGACAGCACTGATTTTTTTTATTGTGTGTCTGTATACCTGTGTGTGTTTAGTTTGAAATCTGTCATCTGTTCTCTAGAGTCCTGGCACTGACGTTCATAATCTAGTCTCCTTTTTGTAAAAGAAATAGAACTTTTTGAGCTACCCACTGCATGATTTTAAGCCGAATTAGAATAGTCTAAGTAATTTTTCTTTTCTTTTTTTCTTTTACTTGCGAAAATTTTCTAACATATCAAAAAATAGAGGGAATACTACGTACACCCCAGACATCCTCCACTGTCGTGAGCCAGGGCTGGAGATGACTGCAAGAGTCTGATCTTGTGTGGCGCCATGCTTTCCGGCTGTTAGCGCTTCCTGCAGTTGTAGGACACTCACAAAGGACTCAGCCCGACTCTCGGCAGGGCCTGTGCGTGGCGTGTGCAGGGCCAGCGGTGTGCTGAGGCCACGCCGTGGGCCTTGTGGAGCAGGCCGCGCGCATCTGTGCTTGTCTGGTACCAGAGAACAGAACTGCGGCCTTTCCCGTCACTGCTCCCTGCGTGGCACTGACATGTGTGTCCTGGGTGTCAGCACGCACTTGCTGCTTACGTTCCCTCACCTTACAGGCAGCAGCGCAGTGGTTCTTCATGGCGGTGGGTGTCACCAGGAGAGCTTGGGTGACTGCAGGACAGTTTGAGAGCTGCAGTGGGGACCACAGTTCCTCGCACCTATGACCTGCTTGTCTTAAATATTCTGCCTTAATTTTGAAATGCCATCTTCACTTGTGATTTTTTTGCTTCCATAAGAGTAGAATACAGGGCTTGAGTGGCCCTTTGGTGTAACTAGCTGTGGCAGAATCTTCTACGGTAGAGTGTCCTGAGCTGTTCTGCCTTTTCCAGAGGCCACGAAACAGCCCTGGCAGTAAATCCACCTGTGCCACAGACCGGGTGACATGGGGTGGTTGGTGTGGGGGAGGAGCTGAGGTTCAGCATGTGGTGACCGGTAATGATCATGTCCCCACACTGTGGGTGGGGGTGGTTCTTGTCTCAAGGTGTGTGTGGGTGTGACACTGTGATTACCTGCAGCAATTCAACGTGTCTTGGGTGGAAGGCCAGGTTTACAGGTCCCGTGTGACCTTGATACAGAAGGAGATTGATCAGGTGAAGCCTGTAGACAGACCCGTTTGCACCCAGCTATAACCGAAAAAATTAACGAAAGAAGTAACAACTGAAGACCAGTGGATTTTGTCGTGTGTATCTTCCGAACGGGTGTGTTTGTAAACACGGGTCCCTGCGTGCTCCTCTGCGGGCCGTGCGTGCGACGAGCTCACCTACTGCACGCGCCTGTGGGCTGCAGACGGGCATTTTGAGCTTTGGAGAGAGGAAGGCTTCTGGCGTGCAGTTGCTTGCCGTGCCGTGGGTGGCGGCTTGTGTGAAGAGATGCTCTGCATGTTGGGCTGGAAGGTGTAAGCTCAGTGACCAGGCAGGAGTGGCTGAGCCGCTGCTGCCTGAGGCGTTGCTCTCAGACCCAGTCTCCACGTGGCTGTGCCTTCTGCTACCTGGAGCACTTCGGGCTTTGCCCACACACGGTGGTCTCACTGCTGTGGATCACGGTGTCTGTCTTGTCTGGCTGTCATAATTTTCCCACCTGGCTTTTGAAAGTGGAGCAAGATGACCTGTCACCAAGGATCGTCTGTCATGGGGTGTCCCGGAGGAGCAGGAGAGGCGGCGGTGGCCGCCAGCCAGAAGCCAGGGGACTGGCCAGGCGCTTGTCCCTGCTGCTCCACACCTTCCTGTGCCGGGCCAGTCCTTAATGTCTGGGCGTTCCAGTTTCAGGAATGTTGAACGGCCGTGTTTCTGAGATTCACACAAGGAATTCACCAGCCCTTTGAGAAGAATGAACTGTTCCAGAACCTTCCAGAGTTACTCTCTGTGTAGAGCCCACATTGCACTCCATTTGTTGTGTCGTGAAGTTCCATCTTTCTGGTTTCTGGTGAAATCTCACACAGTTCTTTGTCCTGTTTTTGCCGACCATTCAGTGTTGACTCAGCTCCAGAGGTGAACCCCAGTCTCTGCAGATGTCCCGACGCAGTGACTGTGGGGAGATGTAACGGGTCAGTCCTCCTCGTTCGGACTTCCCGTCTTTAGAATTGCAGGCGTCAGGCTGACAAGGGCAGGGGCTATGTGGGTGTAAGGAGGAGGCCTGGGCCTGGGTATGGCGTGTCTTCCTGTGTGAGACGACGCCGTGCTGGGCTCTCTTCGAGGACCGCGGGGGTCCTTGGCAGGGCTGGCACAGTGGCGGTGGTACCCGGGAACCACAGTGGTGAGTGTGGGATGGCTAAGAAGCCAGCGTGTCCCCACAGCAGCCCTCGCAGTGAACTGAAGTTAGACAGGACACAGCCCTCCAGGAGTGACGACCTGTGGGTGCTGGTGTGACAGCTGTCACCAGGATCACCCTCCATCCTTGAAAACCCACGTGTTAACCGTCTGCTGTCATCCTCTCCGTGCGTAATTTTTCACCTTAAACCTCAAAGATTGTTTGTTGGCGGGGTGTGGGGCAACTCACAGAATCACCCAGAATCCTGGAGCTTGTGTGTCCACTGCCAGCACCCAGCACGGACAGCCCCCCTGGGAGATGTGGCCCTGTGTCACCTTCCCCTAGGTGAGGGTGGGAACTCCCAGCCCAGTTGGAGCCTGCCTTGCCCCTGGGGCCTTGTTCTCCCTGTCTCCACCCTGGCTACCGGAGCTGTGCGCACAGTGGCCAGAATGGTCCCATGACACCATGGAGGCTTCCTGACTCCGACCCGGGGCTGGTCTTTACCTGGCCTCCAAGGCCCGTGGGTCTGCTTCCACCATGCTGGCCACACCAGGCACCAGACTGTGCGCGTGGCCTGCCCCTGTACTCACCAGACCTCACTGGAACGGGCATCTAGGTGTGCCCCAGCCCAGCCCACGGGAAACAACACGCCCACCCTGGCCTCCTTTTCGCTGTTTGTCTACCAGCCCCAGAATGTCAGCTCCGAGGGGAGGGGGCTGTGGGTAACCAGGCGACAAATGACCACTGCAGTGGCCGCATGCAGTGGGCAACAAGCACATTACCAGGAGAATAGAGCGTGTTGATAGCAAGTTTGGCAACAACTTCCAAACTTCTTGGCTGTGGCTGGGGCTATTTGGGGAGCTAAACCCCTCTCCACTACCAGGTCCTGAACATCAAATATGGATGATGGAAGGTCGGCCTTGCTTTTAGATGCCGATGCCCTTTTAATGTCTGCTCAGCAAGCCTAGGGGAGCTAGGTGCGGGAAGACTGGGCAGGTACAGAGAGGGTGGAGGGTAAGTTTGGGTTGTTCTAAGCGCACTCCCAAGCCTTCAGCACAGCATGATGTCTGCTTTGTGGAAGATGGCTTTCCGGAGGTGTGCGGGTGGGGTGAGGGTGTCTGAGGAGGAGGCCCCTGGGAGAGGTAGGATGTGCCCTGAAGTTCTTGAGCTGACATCCATAGCTGGAGATACCCCACAGGGGGCACCCCCACCCCTCCCCCAGCCCAGAGCACAGCATGTGGTCTGTGCTCAGAACACCTTTGCCAGTGAGCCTAGGGGCCAATGACAACCTTCATCGCCTGTCAGCGAGCATCTGTTGCGTGGACACAGGCCAGCGTCTGAAGAACCATCCCTCCCAGGCCTGGCTCACGGTCCCAGGAGTGGAACCTGTCCCCAAAGAGCCATTTAAGAACCGGTTCCTGTGGGTTTTCACTGCCTTTGCACTCAGTAGAGAGGCCGTTGCTAATTTCCATTTGACCAGTATACAACCCAGTGAGTTCCCGAACACCATCACCCCTTATTTCAGGGACCGGAATCCCCCCTCGGCTCCCTGCCCTGTGCAGGATCCCTGGCACGCACCTCTGGGGCCAGGTCCCCCCCACCTCCCCGGGCTGTCTCCGAAGCCTCCGTGCCAACCTCAGGCTGCATCTGACCTCCCCTGGTGGACGGACGTGGGCCGGGCAGGGTGGGGCGGGGACCCAATGGCATGCCCCGCCCCGCGCTCCCGCCCTGGTGGCCGTCTGGGGGCGACACGTCCTGGGAGCGCCAAACGGAAGCGCTGCTGGAACTGACACGTGGACTTGGGCGGTGCTGCCTGGCTGGGTCGGCCTGGCCGGGAGTTGGGAGGGCCTGCTAGGCATTAGGACATGCTGTGCCCACGTCCTAGTGCCCCAAGCCTGATGCAGCCGCCCCTAGACGAGGCCCGCAGGGACACGGCTGAGGACACCCAGTGGTCCAGGTAAGGGAGGGGACTTTTGGGGAGGAAGCTGAGATGTGTTGGGGTGGGACCTTGCTGGGTGGGGAGGGCTCCTCTGGCCTGGGGCTGCCAGCCCAGACCCTTCGCAGGGAGGAAGGACACCCAGAGTGCCCCACCTTCCTCCCTGCCATCACACCTATGACCTGGGCCATGCTCCACAGCCCTTCTCCCAGCCCTGGGCCCTGGGCGTCTGGCAGGCAGCTGGGGGCGTGGTCCTGGATGGTGAGGAGGTGTGTCCACGCCATTTATGAGTCAGCTCGGGCAGTTCAGGCAGACTGGGGGGTGGTCGGGGCTGAGTGCCGGGCACAGGCTGGAGCCTGTGGCCAGATGGTGGGGTGCTGCCACCATGTGCCGGCTGGGAGGGGGGTGCTCCTGGGAGGGTTCAGCAGTGGGGAGAAAGGCCATGCAGGATACCTGCCCCTTTCATGTTCTGTTTCCATAACCCACTGCTCCCTGCAGAAGTCTTCCTGGGCAGGTGGCACCCACAGAAACCACAGTGAGAAGGTGACAGCTGTCCATTGCCCAGCTAGTGAGGGGACATGAATGAGAACCCCCAGGAGGAGCCCCAAGCTACAGAAGAGCCACCACTGCCTCTGGTTCTGTGGGCTAGGCCCCTCAGCCCAGGCAGCCAGGCCCCGGCCCTGTGGACTCCTGAGCCAACTGCGAGTCCCCGGGGAACCTGCCCCTCCACCTGCAGGGGAATGGCACCGTCCAGCTGGGTGGGGCAGGACCCTAGCACTGCCCGGTGGAGTAGCAGGAAGGCCTGAGGGACGGTGCCACCTGGGATGCTGGAGCAGGGGGGGCACCTTCCGGAAGGAGAGGCCTCTGAGCAGAGGCTATGTGGGGAGGGCCCAAATTACAGCCCTGGCTGCGTTTCCCTGCCAGGTGCCAACGAGGGGGAGGCCTGCCTAGCCCGTGTTTATCCATGTCCAGGCGGGGCCTGCACTACACTCTGGGTAGTGTTTTACTGGCCTGTCTGGCCTTGGCCCTACCCGCCTCACCCCTGCGCTGCCTGGAATGGGTGCTCGCCGCTGCCGTGACACTTGCTTCACAGGGACCTGGTCAGGGACCCAGGCGTCCACACCCGCACGTGGGCAGTGACAATGGTGGCAGGTGCTGCTCTTGACACTGACCGCCCTCCACACAGACAGTCACTCTTCAGCCACAGCACAGGGATGGTGGGGGCGGTGCCAGAGGCGCAGGGTTTGGGGGGGTGGCCCAGACCTGAGCGTCCTGTGCAGCTTGTTGCCGTCCTGGCCCCGAGGCCCTGGCACCAGCACGTTCCCTTTTCTGACTTGAGCGGCCACGTGACGGTCTGCGTGCTCAGTGTGGGTCCCCTGTGCAGGAAGCACCTGCTGGGCTGGGGGCACGTGGGGGCAGGGAGGGAGATTTCTGGTTCCGCCCAATCCCAGAGGATGTTGGGTTCTGGGCCTGGGGTCCTGCTCTGCCCTTGGCGGGTGGGGACTTCCTTGTTCTGTGCCCCTTTGCCAGCCTTGGTGGGCACCAGCCTTGGTGGGCACCACCCACCCAGCGCAGGGACGGAAGGTGGTGCCTCCTGGCCTCTCGAGGGGCACTCAGCCCCCACCCCACACAGCCCAAGGGGCCCCCAGCCCCGTTGCTGCTCTGGGCAGACTGACTTCCGCTAAGGAGGCCGGGCTGTTGGGTGGTGCAGCATTCTCAGTATGATTCCACGAGGGGTTCAGCCCCCCAGGCTTTCCACTCACCCAGAGGCAAATGAGGCGAGAGGCGCCTGGGGAGGGGTGGCCGCTACTTGACCACATGAGGGATACAGCTCCCTTTAAAGGCACCTTTGGACCCTGTGGCCTGGAGTGGGAAGTTAAGGGTGCTGCCCCCGTGCCCCTGCCGGGATCCTCTGCAGAAAACAAACTGTGTGTGTTTGCAGAGAGCTCGAGCGTGGGGGCGGTAAACAGTGGGCGTGCGGGCAGGTGGGCCCGGCCGGCCGGCAGGTTGGACTGTATCTCTCTCTGCTGCCCAGTAACCCAGGGCAGGGCTCGCTTGGAAGGAGCAGACCTGGTGCCTGTTCCCAGGCCAGTGCCAGGTGTGGGGCTGGCCTCACGAGTCACCAATTGTCCCCAGAGCGGACGCTGGCTGTAGAGGATGGTGTTGAAAGCACACCCCATCAGTAAGCCCAGGACAAAGAGCACCTTGTCCACACGGGAGGGGCACGGATCTGGGGGAGCCTCAGCTCACGCAGGCTGGAGCCGGGATTTCGGCAGCGTGCGAGATGTCAGGGACTCCGTTCTTCACGTTGCAGGGGGCTCCTCCCTGTCTGATGTGACAGGGGCGTCTTGTTGGGCCGTTCAGCAGGCTCTCCTCTCCTGCAGGCCCGAGTGCCAGGCGTGGACAGCGGCCCTGCTGCTGGGCACCTGCCTGCTCTACTGCGCCCGCGCCAGCCTGCCCATGTGCACCGTCGCCATGAGCCAGGACTTCGGCTGGAACAAGAAGGAGGCCGGCGTCGTGCTCAGCAGCTTCTTCTGGGGCTACTGCCTGACGCAGGTCGTGGGCGGCCACCTCGGGGACCGGTAACCACCCCCCATGGCCCGGCTGCAGGGGGTGCCCCACAGGGTCCGGGTGGGCAGGCCGGCTCCTGTGGAGGGAGCTTGGCAAATGAGTTTGGGGAGCAGGGCGGGAGAGGGAGGGGTCAGGCCAGCCCTGGGGCCATGGCAGGGCCCGCAGAGGGGAGGGCAGGAAGCAGGCCAGGGTGAGTCCTGAACCCTAACCCTAACCCTAACCTCCCTCTGCCTCCCCTCCAGGATTGGGGGTGAGAAGGTCATTGTGCTATCAGCCTCGGCCTGGGGCTCCATCACGGCTGCCACGCCCCTGCTCGAGCACCTGGGTGGTGCCCACCTGGTCTGCATGACCTTGTCTCGAGTCCTCATGGGCCTGCTCCAAGGTGAGGGGCCTCGGGCTCTGCCCTCACACTCTGCCCTTCAGCCCCTGCGCCAGGGGCGTGTGCGTGTGTGTGTGCATGTGTGCATGCGCGTGCGTGTGCATGTGTGCATGCGCGTGTGCCCTCTCTAGGCGCCCGATCTCTGCAGTGACACGCAGGATCAGATGGGACATCACACGGTAAACTTGTCTCCCGGCACGGAACTTGGTCGCCAGCTGTGAGGGACCTGCTGTGGGCTGTGGGCTTCACGCATCTGTGTCACTAGCTGGTGGTGGCTCTCACACCAGGCCCTGCTGACTGTCAGAGAACAGTGGGCTCCCTGCTTGGCTGGGGTCCGCTGGAGACACAGCTCGGCCTCCAGCTGGCCTGGCCTGCCTGGGCGCCCCACGCACCCTGTGGCCCCTCCTCACGCCTCGTCCTCCCCCCAGAGCCAGCACCAGGCCGGGCAGCACCAGGCCGGCCAGCTGGGCTCAGCTCCCTGGAGCTGCTCTGGCTGTTCCAAGCCCATGGAGGGGCATCCCTCTCCCCCTCCCTCTCTCCTCCCTCTCCCCTCCCCTCCCTCTCCCCTCCCTCTCTCCTCCCTTCTCCACTCTCCTCCCTCTCCCCTCCCTCTCCCCTCCCTCTCTCCTCCCTTCTCCACTCTCCTCCCTCTCCCCTCCCTCTCCCC